TGTGATGTTTGAGAGACTTGTCGTATCACGAAAAGCGTTTCCAACAAACTACAGACTTTCATCAACAACTGCCTACGCTGGCTCGATACTGAAGATCAGATGAGATGCTCAAAACAATAAGAATAAGCAACAAGGAACTCTGGCTGGCCATCTGGCTGTCAACGAACCAACGAAGCGAGAACCTATCACTCAACAAATATACAGAAGGAAATGGAGATGGATTGAATTGACATACACTGAGAAGGCCGACTGAGGACATCACACGTCAGGCCAGGTTGTCGAGTGGAACCCAGGTGGGGAACGACGAGTTGGGCATCCTAAGCATGGATGACATGGAGGCGATCGTGTGAGGAAGAAATGAAAGCTTCTGGGAAGCCGTGGAACGAGATTGAAAAAACTGCAGAGAACAGAGTGGAATGGAGACGTGCTACTAGGAACCCAAGGGACAAATATTAGTTATCATGATAATAATAATAGTAATTATAATAATATGATTCTGACTGACACTGATCGGTTACTTTGAACCATATCCTTGACCTCACAATCATTACATGCTATTTGATAAATCAGTTTGTTTTTCGTAATTGGCTCTGCTGGATATTTTAGACGACAATAAATTTGTGGGTTTAAATGCCACACTAGTCCCAGTATTCATTGTTCAGAATTCTACATGAAATTTCTGTTGTGCCCTCTTGATACAACAAAACTACGTAGGATGTGAATTGCCTCTCACGGATGTTGTAATCAATACTAATACTATCATTCTTTCTCTTATCAGTCCTTATAAATTCTTAATGCATTCTGCAGGATAGTTATTAAGAGTCAGTGTCTCTGTGATGTATTTCACTTAAGTATCTAAGATTTCCAACTTACTAGTCAAACTCCTTGCCCGATTACCTAAACATTTTATTAAGTCTACTTTGACAGATATAATAGGATGAGATGATACGAAGTATCTATCCGAAGCTGTTGGTTTCCTATACTCACTGGTGTCTAAGCGTCCATCTTCTCTCCTCTTTAGTTTACAATCTAACATGGAAGTAATTCTCCTTCTTCATTTACTAATTCATAAGTGAATTGGAATGCATCTACAATCAAATCAATGTGTTTGAAAGAACTGAGGGTTTGTTCTGATTTCAGCATAGTTAATATATCATCTACATATCACCACAATACCTTTGAAGTGAGTTGGGATGTTCCTAAATGCTATTCGTTCTCAGCTGTCCATAGATATGTTTGATATGATTGTGAATATTAGAGATCCAATCGGTACTTCATCTGTTTGTTTATATATTTTATTTTGAAATTTGAAAACTCTGGGAGTTAAAAATAATCTTATCTCTGGCATAATTTCTTTCATAGAAACTATAGTTCTATTACTGAGTTCATAGTCAGTTGAGCGTTCATTTCTGACTGGTTCAAGTGCCATAACAATTGGTATATTTGTAAAGAGATTGTTCATATCAACACAGACCAAATTTTCTCCATCCTCTGTTATTATTATTTATCCCTTGAGTTTCTAATGGAACATAGGGGTTCAGTAGCACGTCTCCAATGAACTCTCTTCTCTGCAAACTTTTGAACCTGGTTCCACGACAGCCCAGAAGCTTTCATTTCTTCCTCACACGATCGCCTCCATGTCATCCATTGGTTTTGAAAATCCGGATCTTGTTCCACCTGCTGAATCCAAAAGATCTCCACACTGGCGTTGGTTGGGTATCATCATCACCTCCGTCTTCTCTACATTCAATTGAATTCCCGATTTCGCTGCACTGTCTCTTCTGTCAACTTGTTGGATTTCGCCTGTAGATCTTCGACTTTGTGCGACATAGTACATTAGACGTAAATCATCATCGGTGAAATCCAAACCTTCTAGACTGTTTTCCTCGGTCAAACAGTGTATGCCTGTCTTCTTGCTCCTCACGGTTTGCTGCATGATCCAATCCACCACAATCAGGAATATCATAGGTGAGAGTAGGTTTCAGCCTTGTCTTACTCTTGTCTTCACTTCACTTCAAAGGTGTCACTGAGCTTTCCATTGTGGATCTTTTGACCTGTAGCATCTTCATATAGTTGTTGAATGAGGTTGATAAAGGTTTGTGGCACTCCGTAGTTAGTGTTGAAGCAAATGCCTATCAAATTACTTGTCGTTCGACTCTATCAAAGACATTTTGAAAGTTGATGAAGTTGAGGCAAATATCCAATTGACTGCCATTCTACGCCCTGTTCTATGATGATGCATAGCGTTGCAATTTGGTCAGCATATGATTTGTACTTCCTGTCAGTCAGAATGGCAGAACATAAAAATTTAGTGGAACGTACAACGGTAGATCCTACTAAGATAAGATATGATTGATCACTGAATTCGAGTTCACTGAATCAACATTCTGAACACATGTAACATGAATGATTCAACCATCATATATTGCAGATATATCCTAAAAGATTTCATTACCGTTTAAATGAATGAATGAATAGCCATTCGACTGTAATACAAAGGAAGCTTTGAATGTCGTATGATTACTTTGATATGAATATGAGTAATAAAGTAATGTTCATCATCTAGTAGATAATACTGTGTCACTGTACGTTGGCTATATCAAACCAGTAAGTCTAATATGAAATTATGAGATTGATAATTTTATCACAATCCAAAATCTAAAGTGGATTTTAAAATAAAAAAATTTTGAAGTATAGAAAACTTACAATTACTGTAAAAGATGCTTTGGATCCCATTTTGTTGTCTGAAATGTCTCATGCTCAATACAATAACTAATGACTTTAAATTTTCTCTACCATGAAGTCATTAGTGTCAATTGTTGGGATGATCTACACTAGAACAAAGTAGTTTTTAAGTTTTATCTTGTTTTGAGCAATTGGTTGTCAAAGTGATGTTACCACTTGAAGTTTTAAGGATGGAGGTTCACGATTACGGATTAGAGTAACCGAGGTTTTAGGTAGCGAATAGGGATCACTTGACTCTTAACTGGAGCTCTAGATCAACAGTTCTAAGTAAACTAGGTAGGTGTCTGAAGTGAACAAAGATAAATCATTCGGATTTTCACCCTTCGTCATGTTCTGGAACACAGCCATACGAACCATATTGTTATGCTTGCTATGTCTCGTAACTTAAAGAGCGACATTCAAATCTGTCAATCGGGAGGTGTTGTTCCACTGTATCACTGTGACGTGGGTACCTGACACGTCTACTGTCTGTAAACTGACGAAAATCAGTGTTGTTTGTCAGGGATACCCCTTGTTCTTGGTTGTGTCTAGGCATATTCTAGGCATTTTAAAAACCGCAAACTTATCAAGGATTTACTTACTATCAGGAGAGCAGCTAGTTGACTTAAACTACGTAAACAAAGTAGTTCTGTTGGATCATCAGACTAGGAAAATACACATTGGCCAAGAATTTGAGTATTTCTAACATTTATTTTGTTCAAATGGTCTGCAACTACTCCCGGTTTATAGATAGCTGGTAACTTGGTGGAACATGTTAACCGACTCACTTACTTGGAGGTTGTTATCAGCCTACATGAGTTGGTTTCTGACGTACTCACAGCTGAGACCATCTCTGTCAATAATGAAATGTCTGACTAACTTTTAAAGGACTAGCGTATTGTGCTGCAGTTCACTCCATCTTTTTTACATATTGTTGATATACATGACCACTGGAAATAGGAGATATCAAGAGGTTACAGGTTATTGACTATAGTTATCTTAGTACCACTGTTTATTTTTGAAGGAATCAGGGTGTGAATAATGCAGAGGTAAAGCAAAGGATATTAGGTGAAAACTGCGAGTCAGTCTATCCACTCCTGACCCTTCACCAACTGAGGGGTTGTTATGATGACTGTAAACTCTTATTAGTCATGTCATATATGACCATTAATTATATATTCCTATTACTCCTAGCCAACGGATATACAGTCGAATAGTGCACACCTCAAAGGGATCCATAACATTAGAGCTAAATCACGATTTTATTATCATAAAGTTCTTTCCAATTCACTTAGATTCTGAGTAATAATTAGTGTGAGTATATGATTGTAGTCATCTTATCTAGGATAGATTCATTATTCCATACAAGGGATTATTCTGACTACAAATCTGGTGTATGACTGACAATATGTTGTTCAGATATTATCAATGTTTCACTTCAGGAATGTAATCATATGTCTGTTATTAAAACCATGCAAAAAGACGCTGAAAATAAGCCAATAAATTTACATTTTAACAAATTCAATAGTTTGATCAAGTTAAAACATTTGAGAAATTTCTACTAAGTAAACAAAGATCTGTGGAACTTGGACGTTCAACAAGTATTCTTCATAATGATTCTTGCTTGTTGGTTGACCTTTATTACCCGGCACACTTCTCCCCCCCCCCCTAATTTATTTAGGGTGAAAGAAATAAATTGGAAGTGAAAAATGATTGGCTGATTCAGAACTGACCTTATTGTCCTTACACCACCTATTGACTGGCGTTCACTAGCCATAAAGCAAACAAACTTGACGTAGGCTCTTCGGTCACCTTACACCTCGCGCAACGTAGTGCGTGTACGTCTGCTTCTCTTACTCCTTTAGGGTGATCTTCAATGACTCTAAAGACAGAAATACGTCTAGATAAAAATGCTTCACAAAGATTGATTTGTTTTCGGTTACAACACTGTACGGTGTCATCGCTCAACATAAAAATAAAAGCAACTCTTTGCTCTGTTTTTATAGTATTTTTCGATTTTGTGCAACCGATCACATGGGATATTTCCTCATCCATTTTGATTGGACAACAAGTGACACAAGGAGTTAGGGGGACCAAATGTATTTCCTCTTTATTGGCTATCGTTAGATCAGTGTTTCCATTTTTTTTTTCATATCTTGAATATTGTTTCAATTCCAGTTATAATCCAGTGAATTAGCGAAGTCGATGTTGAACTAGTTGGTCAATCTATCTCTTTGATAATACAATATGATTTCATTCATCTTTTTTCTTTACAGCCAAAAAAATTCTTTATTCATCTTCTAAATAATTCAATATATGAGTATAAAAATCTTAGTAGCGGTGATCCAACCAGTGTTTTCATGGGTCTTACTATGATCAAGGTAAGTCAATTTTAATTGGTTGGATTGTTTCCACTAGATAATACTTTTTGCCTTGCATTTTTCTACTTCTATCAGTCTAAGTAAAATGTTTGAAAAAGTATTTTTCAGGTAATTTCTTCAACAAGGGGTAAGTTACTATTCATCAGAATGGACTGACATAAGTTAGAGAACCACAGATAGCTTGACAGCATGAAATAGCTTTGTCATCCTGGTATGGAAGTGTTTAGGGAGTACGCACATAAGAACGCAGAGGATTCAGTCTTCAGAGACTGTCAGTCAAATCAGAAATGAAGCGGATCCCCACTAATAATATTAGATGATGGTTGTATTATATCTCAGATTTATACAACTAGGACTACCGGGATCCAATCAAAGGGGTTGAATGGTAGGTGACCTTACATTTCAGATTGCTACTCATCGTAGACTGACATCATTTGGGGAACAAAGGAAACCTGGAAGCACTGGACAACTGTTTCCTCCGATTAGTATGGGACTCCTTAGCAGTGCGCACCCACGACCCCACCAGGGGGTCGAACGCGCGACCTTCGGGTTCCATGGCAAGCACGTTACCATTGAGCTGTCCACTGGGTCAGAATCCAGTGGTCTTGATGGTCATGAGGACAGTTACTCAATGATGATATTGGGTGGCGGTTGTGCAATGTCGTCAGCTAACAGAAGTTGGAAATATGGACCATTGGATTCTGACCCAGTGGCTAGTTCAATGGTAACGCGCTGGCCACGGAACCTGAAGGTCGCGGGTTCGACCCCTGTCAGGGTCGTGGGTGCGCACTGCTAAGGAGTCCCGTACTAGTCGGAGGAAACAGCTGTCTAGTGCCCCCAGGTTTCCTTTGTTCCTCCAACTGATATCAGTCTACCATGAATAACAACTTGAAGTATTTCCAAATCCCCGTAACTCCCTCAAAAATTCAGTCAACCTCAGATTTGTCAGAAAATTATCCTAACTGCTTACAAATTCTTTTGTTTACGTGTTACCACTGAGAAAAACGGTTTTCAATTGCCCCATAACTTTTTGATGGCGGTATCTCAATGACTACCATACATTTTTCCTTTGCTTAAGATCGATTTCTTTTCGTATGTGATGAGACGAAGAATAGATATGATATTTTATTAGTTTGGATGCATGACACTTTTGTCTTGTCCACTGCTAATTTTAATGTGTTTCTTATAAATTCAATGAATAACTTCTTATGTTCTTACTTGTACTGAAACAGGCAATATCGAAGTATCTGCTCAGGAGCCCATATGTCAGTAAACACCGACCGACCAGTACGGTCGAATCAACACGGGATAATGCAAAACAGCATCGTTAGAACCTACACCGGCAGCACAAAAAGTGGTTATCGTGACTAGGTCATATAGTGGATAACGCTTTGGAGTTTTAAACACTCGGTTATGGGTTCGAGTTTTAGTAGGAAAAACACCACTCATTGGGAGGTAGGTATATCCAGCTGACCAGTGAGTCCCAAATAGGACGAAACGCGGGTCATGAATTCCACTGCTAACCACCATTCATCGTGAATATCATGTGAACAAATCTTTGGAAAGTCTTCCACATGTATAATAGTAGATTGTTATTACTAGTAGAAATTTAGCACTGGTTTGAATCAATTACAACCTGTCACATTTCACAGTCACAGCTAGTAGTCATTTACTTCACAATCCCTGATGTTAGATTTCTGCTCAATTTTCAGTGAAGACTTATTGTTCCTGCCACCAATCTACAGTAGACATCAAACTGGTGTAACTGAAGATTCAACTCAGACAAGATACAGCCTCACTTCCATGATATTTCTACATCTATCATACATTTCAGTGCACGCATATGTATGAACTCCATAAGTCTAAGTTGTATTGTGTTCTCTGAGCTGGATTGTTTAATTGTGGAGCTTTCATTGTCTTTCAAGACGACATCATCAGCACTAACTTCAGTATGACGTCCAGAGAACACAATGTAACCACTTGAGCTTCAAATATTCTCCTCCATTTCAAGAACTTCATAAGTCTTGCCGTGTAGAAACTAAAGTTTTCTCGTTAAACAAGATGAAAATCTGTTGTTCATTGATACCTATAATTTCTCGTTGCTATAAAAGGTCGAACTGTTCGACCTCTGTTGGCAGATGGATTCCTATCCGGATGTCCGACATTCATGATGTTATATCCATCTTGGTGAGTAGTAGTGGAATACTTCCTATTTGAGACTCTTCGACTACATGTACCCACAGCTCATTGAGTTGTGTTGTTCCTACCGGGATTAGAACCTCACACCTATCAGTTCAAACGCCAAATCATTATCCCCTAAGGTACGTGCATCACCACTAGTATACAGGCGTCTTTGGTCACTGATAGCTTATGAATAATCGACTAATATTTTATGAACACTGAATCCACCTAATGTAATCCAAAAATGAACTAAAAATTGTTTTGAAAATCAGTAATGAGAATAGATGACTACAATTTTCAGGTGTTGAGTTAAATACATTAATTTGTAGGTGATTGAATGAAGAATACATTCTTAAATTCACAAGTGAATGAACATGAAAGACTTAGACTGAATATTAACTAATATCTAACTAAATCATTATTATAATTCATCTCAAGGGGACCCATAAGAAAATAAAAGAACCAAGAATTTAGGCTTCATTACCATCACAAACGACCAATTGAGGAGTTCGGATAAATGTAGGGTAAAAAGTAGTACCTAGTAGTAGTAGTAGTAGTAGTAGTAGTAGTAGTAGTAGTAGTAGTAGTGTAAGTAGTACTGGTAGTAGAAGTAGTAGTAGTAGTGTGAGTAGTAGTATGAGTAGTAGTAGTGGTGTGAGTAGTAGTTTGAGTAGTAGTGGTGTGAGTAGTAGTAGTAGTAGTAGTGTGAGTAGTAGCAGTGTGAGTAGTAGTGGTGTGAGTAGTAGTAGTGTGAGTAGCAGTGTTAGTAGTAGTGGTGTGGGTAGTAGTAGTGTTAGTAGTAGTAGTGTTAGTAGTAGTGGTGTGGGTAGTAGTAGTGTTAGTAGTAGTGGTGTGAGTAGTAGTAGTGTGAGTAGTAGTGGTGTGAGTAGTAGTAGTGTGAGTAGTAGTAGTAGTAGTAAGGAAATTCCGTGTGTGAAACTATTAATAATAGGCCTTGGTCAACTGACAATTCAGTGAACAGACAATTTATCCAATATTATGTATTATCGAAACACAACTAAATTTACTGACAACAAGATAAGTGACCCATGTTAAGCTCAAATTATTTTTTTCTTATTTTATTTTTCAGTTCAATTGTTGTGGTGTGAACAATGGAAGTGATTTCAAACATTCAAAGAAATTTATCAACACCGATACTTGGAATAACAAAACATGTAAATATTATAGACTACTTTTAGAAATATATTTATTTAAATGTTGAATGGATTAGATACAGTTTTAGTAAGATTTTTAAGTAAATAAAAAAATCTTCAAGACAGATAATTCAATAAACACTTCCAGATATTCAGAGATTTTTGTCATTCTAGAAGATAACTTTGTCAATGTCACATCTTGAAATTTATATAGTTAAGTAGTTAAACTTTCAGTTTTATTTAAACAACAGAATTATCTGATGAAATTTCCTAGAATATCCATGTCACCTCCTATGAGTAACTTATGATGTAAACAGTTATTGCCATAATCTTCCAGTTACTCCACGCATACCTGTTTCGATCGTTTTAATATTTGAGTTCCTAATGTCTATGGCATTTGAATATGAAAAGATGGTAAACATGAGTGTCTAATGCCTGAATTCCTCTGTTGGTCACCAAGATCAATAGAATGTCGTGAATATTCAGCAGTAGTGAGGCATCCGAATAGCAGCCAATCTGCCGTCAGAGGTCGGACGATTCGGCTCTGTATAGCAACATGAAATTACAAGTATCTGACTGATACCCGTTGCACAAGAGATGACTATCGGAATTCGGTGGTTTAGTGCAGAATGCTGTGGTATCTGAAGTGATAGACACTGGAGTTATTCAATAAGAAAGAAAATGAAACAGGATCAAATCATGTTCAACAAAGGAGTGAAAGATTAACGTACTCTCCTTCTGTATGCAAAGGTGAGAATGAAAGCATTTCACTTCAATCACTTCCGTGAAATACACTAATCCAGACATCAATGTGAGAAAAAGGATGGATGGTCAGATTGAAAAGATCATCCATACAAAAGCCACATAGACCGGACAAGACTTTGACAGTTTCTATCTGTCAGCTGTTAGTTTGGTCTAATCAAAACACTTTACAATAGAGCTAGTAAATTATCTTGTACGAACGAGTTAGAGGAAAACCTATACGTTTTTGAATTGTATCTTCGGGAGAAATGATATTTTAAGAGATTCTTTATGAAGTATAAAATAGAATAGATTTAGAAACATGAATACCCAACTGTGGAAAAAATAAAACTTTTATACGCCATACATTCAAAAGGGATGCAGTATCCAAGCAGAAAGGCAAGTACTGAGAAGGAGCTTTCCTACAACACCTTATGCTCAATAAACCAGTCAAAATTCGATAATTACCCTTTTCATACAACCTCCAACCGTATTAATGAATTCACATGCATTTTGCGGTAGCAAATACATTGGAAGGAGTGAGAGGAGAGCGTCTATTCAATTCAATGAGCTTAACTCCAGGATTCTGTACTTGAAAGGAAGTAAAATTCTAATCAGTTGAATTGCTAGATACATTGTAGACATAGGACATCAAGTTGCAAGCTCAAGGGCTTATAAAACAACCAATGTCTAGATTACTGCGTTTCATGGAAGTGACTGCAATGAAACGCTTTAATTCTGACCTCTGCATACAGAAGGAGACTGTGGTAAATCTCTCATTCCTCTAGTGAATATGATTTGATCCTGTTTTATTTTCATTTTAATCAAAAAATTCTTGATTCCTTTTCTTTATTATTATTCTCCCTTCCTTACAATAAATCCTCCTACACGTTACGTGAATTATGAATAATTTTCAAATATGTATAGTAATGATGGGAAGTGGCTAGCAGTGGAATCCAGGATACGCATTTCGTCCTATTTGGGACTCACTGGTCAGCTGGATGTACCTGTCTCCCAGTGAGTGATGTTGTTCCCACCGGGAGTTGGACTCGGGATCGACCGCTCCAAACACCAGGGCGTTATCCACTACACCATCGAGCCACGATAGCGACTTCTTGTGCGACAGGTATAGCTTTAGTGTTATTGCTTGTATGACACTAACGTTGATTGGACCTAATTGATCAGTCTCTGTTGGCATACCCGTTGCACAAGAAGTGGCTATCGTGACTCTATGGTGTAGTGGATAACGCCCTGGCGTTTGAAGCGATCGCTCCCGAGTCCAAGTCCAGGTGGGAACACCATCACTCACTGGGAGGCAGGTACATCCAGCTGACCAGTGAGTCCCAAATAGGAGGAAATGCGCATCCTTCGTTCCACTGCTAGCCACTTCCCATCATTACTAAACATAGTTAAAAGACAGGCAATATCGAGGCATCCGAACAGGAGCCCATATGCCAACAGAGACTGATGAATTCGGTCCAACCAACGAAGGTGTAATACAAGCAATAACACTAAATTTTCAAATATGTTTTACCTTGATAACCAACGTACATTTGAACTGTATGCGACTTAAAAGTATTCGTGAAATAAAGTGACATCATTCTAATAACTTGATATGTTATATGCACCAACTGGCTACTTTACCTAAAGAGTGCGACACTATGCATTGGTTTCTGTTGTTTATGGATCAAAGCTTGAAAATTAATCAGTTAGTTAACTGGGATACCATTCATTCGTCACAAGTAGTTCACTGCATATCAAGGATCGATTATACCAATAACTCATTTTATTCGATAGACATACGTTATATAACTGACGAATAATAGTTATTTATGATGATTTTGCTTGGTTGTGGTTAGCAGAAGAACCCAGGACGCACGTCTCGTCCCAGTCAGTGATACTTTTCCCATTGAGACTGGAACCTCATACTTATCTCTTCAAACACCAAGGCATTATCCACTATTCCACGGAAGCACGATAGCTAATTCTTGTACAACACTCACTCATCTAACAGTACATGGTAATAATTGTTGCTGTTAGATGAGTGAGCACAACTCAAAGATAAATATTACAAAAATCCATAAGAGGACAGTGCATTACAATTTGTAAAAGTATATCAAACTGTTTAGATCTTGAAGATAGGATGAAACGCGCGTATGAAATTCCACTACAAACCACCAAGATAATACTCCTTGCTAACTGACTGTATCTTTATCCAATAACCGCCTTTCAGGAAATGAATATTACGTTAGGTATATAATCGAAATACCATAGACTTAAAATATATTTCATGCAGTAAATAATCATCAAATAATAATCAAAAGGCCAGTAAATGGAAGGCTGATATTCACCTATTTACAATTTGAACATATCACTTTATACTATTATCATTATAAAAATATGTAATTTTGTAAATTCTATGTATAAATGTGTTTATAATTTTCTTATTTAGATACATTACAATATCCGATTCCATGTTGCAAGTTTAAAGTAAACCTTGACATTCTGTCTACTACATGCCCTAAAAGTTTCACTTCTGAAATAGTAATATAAATAATGGATGTCTACATCCATTACACAATTATGTGTTCCATTATATTGATATCGCTGCCTATGTCTCAATCATCATTCTATTATGTGAAGTAAGTGTTAATCTGAACCTGAAAAAGTTAAAAAAAATAATTAACATTTATTATACAATATCATTCTGGGGACACCACGTGCAGGCCGTCGAGTAGAACCCAAATGAGAAGCGACTAGTTGGGCATCCGAGGGTGACATGGAGGAGATCGTGCGAGAAAGAACTGAGAGCTTGTTGGCAGTCGTGACGACAGGTTGAAAAGATTACAGAGAAGAGAGTGGAATGGAGAAGTGCTACTGAAGCTCTATGTTCCATTAGGAACCCAAGGCAGAAATAATGATCATAATAACACATTATCATTTGACTATGTGATATAGCCATAGTTTGGCAGACTAGTACTCATACTAGATGATAATTGAAGGTGAAATGAAAATTTGAACTACACCCAGATTCAAACCATCAATCAACAGGTTACCAGACCGATCCCCTACCAACTGATCTACGACGTTCAACTACTCACCACATCTTCATTTCACTTCAATCACTAAGGGTTTACACCAACGACTACCATGTGAATTCGTGACGTCGCTTGATTGTATTCACATTGGTTGCCCACGAGTCAGAACTTCTCATCCCAATCTAAATGTAAGTGAATTAGGATGAGATGGGAGCATCATATTGACGATTATTTTGACTATGTGAGATAGTCATGGTTTGACAGACTAGTATTGGTACTGGGTGATGATTGAAGGTGGGATGAAAATTAGGACCACGGCCGGATTCGAACCAGCGACCACTACGATGCACTACCAACCGAGCAACGAGGTCCAACTACTGACCAGATTTTTATTTCACTTCAGTAAATGTGTACTTATTTGTGACAGTAACTATATTCAAGTCTATAGATGTGTGTTACGATTGTGTAAGAGACGATAATGAAAACGTATAACCAACCGTTATCAGTTCAACTTGAAACAAACTCTCTACGTTCACCTGAAGGAAGTGCCGTTTTCCTTAGCTGCTCTCCCTCGCCTCTTCTACCAACTTGTTAGTTTTCACCAGTAGATCTTTGATTTTGTGAGACATTCGACATAAATCATCATGGACAAAATCCGAATTGCATAGGGTCTTTTCATCTGTCCTGAAATACGTCGGATGAAGATATCAGAATACAGACCAAACACGTATAGAAAGCGGATATCCCTTGAAGTTTATAAATCGTTGCAGAAATCAGGTAGCATCAAAGCTTACTTTATACACCCTTCCTAAGAAGAAAAGCGTCCACATCATTCTACCATACAGAGAGGGACTTGATCAGTATAATTTTGAGATGTAGGCTAACATCAACCTTTACGAAAACCTTATTATGCAGATAAACTTATTATTGTGGAAAGTGCGAAACATATACTTCACCACAAACCTAAACACTACATCAGTGATTACAACACATCACGTTCTGTTTAACTGTTCACATTCCATTCCATTCCATAATATACAAACGTATTTCTAATTTGATTGTAATTACTTTGTAAATTTGTTTATTTCATTTTTTTTCCCATAGGTAATAATACTTCTGATGGCTACTCTGATAAACAAGGAAAATTCTTCGGCAACTGCTTAATCATTTATTGTCTACAGGTTATACTATCACTCCTACTCAGTTATGATGTAATCAGAATTTCCATACACAGCTTTATTAAATTCAATTCACTACCAGTGTGATAAAGTGATAAACGGCATGTATATGTGTGTTGTTTCCTTCAGATACTTGTCAGTTGTTCATTATATATTTCATTTATGTTAATGAATATTGCTTTCAGTCAACTCATCTTTCATAGACAATATCACAATTCACTTATTGATTTCCACGTTAACTGAATCACCCCTTATTAAGATCCTCATGATGAAAACATGTAATTTATTACAGTAACAGAGCTTCTGAATAAATCTATACAATATCAGTAACTGAAGTCATTTATACTTATGCTGGATGATGGTTGAATGTGAAATGAAAATATGGACCTCGGGTGGACTCGAACCAGCGATCACCTTCAGTTATCACCTAGTATCAATACTAGTCTGTCAAACCATGACTATCTCACATAGTCAAAATAATCGTCAATATGATGCTCCCATCTCATCCTAATTCACTTACATTTAGATTGGGATGAGAAGTTCTGACTCGTGGGCAACCAATGTGAATACAATCAAGCGACGTCACGAATTCACATGGTAGTCGTTGGTGTAAACCCTTAGTGATTGAAGTGAAATGAAGATGTGGTGAGTAGTTGAACGTCGTAGATCAGTTGGTAGGGGATCGGTCTGGTAACCTGTTGATTGATGGTTTGAATCTGGGTGTAGTTCAAATTTTCATTTCACCTTCAATTATCATCTAGTATGAGTACTAGTCTGCCAAACTATGGCTGATTGTCAAAATGATAATTTACATTTATACTAAAAGTAGATGCAGGAATTCACTGTCCCCGGAAATGAATACTACTACAAATAAGACGTTACATGATATTAATTACGATTGAATTCAAGGAGACATATTGATATCATCGACTTGAGTGCTGATCGAGTTGTGAGGGCGGTTGACACTTCCCGGCTGCTCATACCGTGGAAGGCTATTTCTTCTTAAGATACCTGAAAGAGATTTGTGTGACCGCAGAGACCATCGGACATCTGCTTGAGGCCTGTTACATGTAGCCTTTTGAGTATGGTTATTTTGAACTTTTGTATTTTTGGGGCCGGAAGGTCGAAAAGAAACGACAAATAAACCAACACCACCCACCCGGCAGACCGTGGGGCATGGTGGAGTGTGTTATTTTAGGGGCTGACCTTTTCTAAAGCCCCCTTCCACTGAGAAGGCACCATCAGCATGGCACTGCTGGTCATCCAAGGGAAACACCTTACTGCTGTCACACCCCATCCAGCTAGGAGCAGTACGACTTCGCCCTCGGACCCCCATCATAGTGTAGTTATTTACACCACAACGGTAACTGCTTTTCGTCTTATCCAACAGACTTTTCTGGTATGGTAGGACCTCGAGGTAACAAGGATTCCATCAGCATAGCTCGTTGAGTCATTGTGATATGCAAGCCCGACCACCACGTCAAGGTAGCAGCTATCGGTCCGGACATATTGATATGCAGTGAAGTTTCCTGCTAAGTGAGGAAACAACTTTACGAGGACGTCAGGTGTTTATAAGTGCAGAGATGTTTCGTTCTACCGAAGTCTGTTACATACTGGCACATAGTTTCACTTTGTGATCAATAGGTATTTATGAATAGTGAAAATTGTAGTGTATAGTCACTGAGCAAGGCGATTTGATAATCCCTTTACAATAGTATAATAATGACAATAAAAATACAACCCAAGAACTCTGTACAGGTTTTCATCTTATGCTATAGGATATTTGAAAAGTGACAGAAGGGGAAGGATAATTACAATGCTATCCATCACCTAAGCTTAAGTATGTGAGTAGGATGTGAACTTGAGACGGATTTGTTTGTAGGTAGATACCCACATCACTTAACTGATACTGAAGTGACATAGATTGATGTTTAATTTTTATAAAACCTTATTATCAAGCATATAAGAAAGCTAGATAAAAAGCGAATAATTTCCAAAAGATTCAGGCTTGTTTATTCCAATGTAATGGCTGCACTATTAATCAAAATTACTTAAAGGAAGTACAATGAGGTCAGGTTGATATTTACTATAGGCTGACATCAGTTGGAGACCTCCTAGTTGGAAACTTGGAAGCACTGGACAGCTTTTTCGTCCTAGTACGGGATTTCATTGTGGTACGCATGCATGACCCTGCCTTGCCAGGGACCGAACAGACGACCTTCAGGTTTCACGGCCAGCACGTTTCCAGTCGCACACAGTATCAGAATCCAGCAGTTCATATTTCCTACTTCTGTCAGTTCACAATGTACCACGACCTGCATCCAGTGCCGTCGCTGAATAACTATCATCATGTTCGATTTGGTTGGCTGAAGGTTTGTTGATGAATACTAATGTGAAGTCAATAACAAAATCCCCACAAACCCCTAAAATGTAGGACACTGGAATATTTTGTTCTTTTCTTGTGGTCGCTTTCACCTATCTAGGTAGTATCGTTTCAATTACAGGTAGCGGCACAGACACAGATGATGATTTCAAAACCAGTCACGATATGAAAGACACCAAAACAGGCATTCCTTCATTAATCTGAAATCAGTGAGGAGATCTACTGCGCCACACTACATTGCACTGCACTGAACTCAGCATAAAGTTTCAACAACATACGGATTTCTAACATTAATTCAGTCAAGTAAGTCAATGCTTCTATGTGATGGTTCAGAGACTTGGCACGTTACGAAAAGCATTTCCACCAAAATGCAGACTTCGTACACCAACATTTGCCACCTACGCTAGTTCGATAGTGAAGATGGAGATCAGATGGGCAGAATAGTAATTGTCAGCAACAAGGGACTCTGACCTGGCAACGAACCAACCAACCAAGGACCCATCGCCCAGCAACTATGCAGCAGAGGGAAGTGCAGATGGGTTGGATTGGACATACACCCATAAGACCGATTGGGAGTATCACGCACCAGAATAGGCGGTCGAGTGGAATTCGAAGGGGAAACGATGAGTTGAGCGTCCCAGCTGAGGGTGACGTGGAAGAGGCCATGTGAGGAGGAAATGGAAGGTTTTGGGCAGTAGTGGGGTGAGTTTGAAAGTACTTCAGAGAAGAGAGTGTAATGGTGACATGCAGCTATAGCCATTTGTTCCACTAAGAACCCAAGGGACAAATAAAAAAAATTGTCAGAGTAATTCTAATTGAATCATGAATGGTTACAGATGTCTACTGATCTTCTTCGCTTTAGATTACTTACAGCATTATCAACTTCTGAAAGAGTTACACGCCCTATGTCAATGTTTGATTTGGCATGTCACTGAATTAATTATCCATATATTTCAAGCAGGTTACATCTTTAGATGTATAAAATACAGTGTAGTATTCAACAATGGTGACAGATCTGCCATTAAGACTGAATCTCTATAACTGTCTAACCCGTACCTTGTTTATCAAAAATCAGCGATATGAATACAACCAAAATAATCCTGGACGGACAGCAGTTGGAGGAATATTGGAAACCTAGGAGCACTACACAGCTGTTTCCTCCTAGTATGGCACTCCTCAGCAGTATGCACCCATGACCCCACCCCACCAGGGTTCGAACCCAGAACTTTCAGGTTTCGCAACCACCATGTTACCATGAAGTCACTGGGCTGGTGAAATCTAACGGTCCATATTTCCTATCTCTGCCATCTCACGATATACCGTGACCTCTATCCAATTGTGACTACCTTCGAGAGGTGATCCCCAAAGTTCCAATGAGAGGTAGTGTCCAGTGGAACCAGCAACGTCGAATATGAGGACAGCTGCTCAACGGTGCCATTGGATAGAGGTTGCACTTTATTGTGAACTAACAAAAGCAGGAAATGTGGACAACTGGATTCCGACCTAGTGGTGAACTTGATGGTAACGTGCTGACTGAAGGACCTGAAAGTCAAGGGTTCGACCCCCGCCCCCGGGATGGGGTCATGCGTGCGCACTGCTGAGGAGTAGCGCACTAGGATGAAACAGCTCTCCAGTGCTCCCACGTTTTCAGTGTTTTTTCAACTGATTTTAGTCCATGGTTAATTCCAATCTGAAATCAATTAATAAATCTCCACAAACCTCCAAATAATAACCATCTTGTTAATAAATACATTGTCATTCAGGTTATTTATTGGTGTAGTAGCAGATAAAACCATTTTTTCATAATACTGAACGAGTAATGATAAAGTGGAAGTATTTCACCAGTTAAAGTTTCACAAGAGCGTATACCGAGTTCAAGGTCTATGATCGGAAATGCGTTGTTTAGACCCCACTTGACGTGGCTATGCTGTCCTCAATTCTATTTAGAGAACACAACCTTCACCGAATTTCCCTTTTATCATTTCCATCACGTGATTTAAGTTATTTTTATTTTTAAGTGAATCTTATTATTCTGCTTTCTGATATTAACTCGTGAATCTGGATAATCTTTATCCATCCTTTTATTCGTTTCCTATGGGTTTCAGGGGCTATGGCTTACTATGTAAACTTTTCAGAATGGCCACAAAGTATTTATTTAGTTGATCACGATAATTTTTCTGCCATTTCAATATATGATCGAGTGTTCAGCACAAATCTTTACTACTTTTTGAGTTAACATGCACTTCCTAATCAAGAATCAATGAAAGTCTGTGCATGGATAATAAATTCAGAAGCTGCCCCCCCCCCTCAGCTATAGTTCTTATCATGCCAAAATATGCCTACTAGGGAACTGTCTCATTTATACTTCGTTTTGATTACCCTGAAGGATTCAGTTTTTCAACTACGAACAGTGAACACTTCTGCATTATTCAGATTGACTTTCAGGCATATCATTTCAACTGTTCATTCGTTGGTTAACAGCTCATAAATGACATGAATAACCAGCTACTTGGTGGAACACTTCAATGACTTGATCTGATAGTCTTCGATTATTTTTCAATCCCCTATGTTCTCCAGCTAACAAACTGTATGGGGAAAACAGT